ATGAGCATTAAATGCATTGACAGAAGTAAAGCACTTGAAAAGTGCCTGGCACATGGTACATACTCAGTAAATGTTACCTAGTATTATTTCATATATGTTGATATTTTAGAATCAGGCATTTAAAAGTTGTACACATTTAATAAAATATAACTAATATTTGTATATGTAATAATAAAAACATTGCATCTATAAAACCAATCGGTCTTATAAAAAAAACTTCTAAAAATTGACGTTTATTTATAGCCAGATGTCTGTTTCCTCTTCTCCCTGCCTGAGACCCGCACACCCACCTGACGATGATCACTGGATAGATGCCCACACCACCAAACACCTACTAGAGGGACTGGCCTCTCTGGGCCTCCCTGAACGTCTTGGTGGGTGTGAAACTGTGCTGAGGCCAGGGAACAGAGACCCTGGGACACAGACCCTGTCCAGTGGATCTTAAAGAAAAAAAAATTTTAATCTGAAGATAACGTGGGAATAAGACATAGTGGAGAGCCTGGACTATGGAAATAAAATCCTGAGAAAGGTTTTCACAGTTCAGCTTTTATTAAAATTAACAAAGTATGGGAAACTAGAACTTGATTCCTGTTGAAATAATCCACTTGAGGAACAGTTTCTTCAGCTATCACTGTAACTGATGGAGCCTATGACAAGTGTTCTTTTACAAGATGGATGGGCTCTAACATCCAAGCAGAGAATAGGAGATCAAGGACCTTACCGATGCAGTGTGCTCACAGGGTATCAGTGATCAAGTCAGGTTGCCTGTGGACAACCACATGGATAGACACAAAGACATACACATTCAGCATCTTAAGTCTTCTTTCAACGTGTTTTATACATCATATACAAATTAGACAAAAAGTCCAACCGGGTCCTTTACTGCCACTGAAAAATGGGGGGAAATAATTTTCAATCTCATAGCCAAAGGCAAGAACACAGTACTAGGGCAATTTGTTTCTCCAAATGCCAGTCACATGCATTCCTGCCTTGGCTGATGTCATACCCACGAGTCACTCAGCCCCATGACAAAGGCTGTGCAGGGGCTATGAGGTGGTGATTATCCACTATAGAAGCCTCTTCCATTCCCAAATGTCGAAAGTGCTGCTGGCTCACCTGCTCGGTCACACTGCACACACAGCAGAGCCAAACATGAGGGGCTTAGGACTCTGAATAGTGCAAACACTTAAAAAAAATCCAACCTCCTTGCTTCTCCAGGCAAACAAAGCCTTAAAAACTCCAGCTAACTGGAATATGAGTTTGCTAAACCTCCCAACCTGATCCAACAAGGTGCAAATGGGGAGCATGGAGGCGATTCAAATGGCACCTGTCCCAATAATAATAAAAATAAAAGACTGTTTTAATGAGGCTAATGGCAGACTGTTTTAATGAGGCTAATGGCAGATAAATACATAAAATAGAGCCTGGAGTGTAGACACAGCTCAAGAAACAATAAGTTTTAGGGGTAGTGTGAGCATCTGTAAAGCACATGCTTAACACATTCTTAATGATCATGAGGACTGACCCCTGTTTTAAAGCTCATAGAGAAGATGCTTCCAAAAGGGACATCATCCAGCAGCAAAGGCCTTTAGCTGGTGGAAGCTTCCGAAGAACAAGGGGCAGAAAAGAATTGAGGACTGGTTTGCCGGACCTAGGAAACTCCTGGGAGTATGCACTGTAGGGCAGGCCTTTCTCTGGAGCTTCTCCACGCCACAGCGTGCCAGGCTCAGCACCAGGCAGTGAGAGCCACCAGCAGATGGGCCGAGCAGCCTCCCCCTCTGCCAAGAGCGGACTCCAAAAAAAAGTGGTCAGGCAATATAGTTGGGTGATTGCTGAGTCAGGCTAAACGTTAGTCCTGAAGCAATTCCAGAAATACCAGGGATCGTGTTTTCCAGCAATCTCCTTTGAATATGGTATAAGAAAGAGGACTCAAAGTCAAAAAGACTCATCTATCTGGAACTACTGAAAAATCAGTTTTTGGAGGGTGACAAGCGAAGGGAAAAGAGCTACAGGCATGAACTAGGAGAGTGAATGACTTATGGAACAGAACATTTCATTATCATGGATAATAAAAATCAATTCAAATATCCTAAAAAATTATCTTATAAAAATATCTACATTAAAAGTTTAGCCTGAACGCTATAGCTTCAGCTTTATAAAAAGGCAATCTTTGAAAGGCTCTGGCTCAGGAATATACAAACATTACACAACAGATACCAAAGTAACACAGCTCAAAAAGCATGTCAGGGGATACTGCAACTGGTTTGTTGTGAAACAGAATTAAGTATTCTTATTGCATAGCAGAAAATGAGGTCAGTTTCATTTGCATAATACTGCAACTTTTTAGGAGAGATGCCATTAGGAGAAGGAACTTTGCAATTCAGAGTCTGACTTCTGTGTTGTCCAAATCAGTATCCAAGCGGCATCTAAGCGGCTTCTAACCTTGGGCCGCAATTCCATTTCATCACTGTGATCAGCTTTCAGATACACCACCCGCAAAGCTGCATTCACAAGCAGCTACGGGCACCCAAATGGGGGGGCAGGGGGTTTGCCTACCAACGTGACCAGCGGAGACTTGAAATCAAGTCAGCTGTGTTCACTGTGGAGAGAGAATCGTACCTAGTGATAGAGAGACAGCAGGTTTGCAGGTTTTAAATGGCCTCTGTGGGCAGCTAGAGACCGAATGGCTTTTTGGTGGTGATGTACCAGTGTTGAAGTCCCCATGAGAAAGGACGGGTGAGGAGGAGATGAACCTGGCCTCAGCAGTACTACTGGGTGGGGGGAGGCGGGGGGGGGGCGGTTCTTCCCAGGAAGGGAGACATGAGGTGGAACCAAGAGCAGAAAACGTGGCTGGCGAGCTCTCAGGGAAGGGACCTGCTCTGGGCAGATGAAAAACAAGAACCTCCCCCACATATGCATCAAAGTCCAGCTCCTAGGTGTTGGGAAAGAGGGTGGGAAGTTCACCTTTAGTCTGAAATCAGGAGCTGTGTGAACAGCACACATGGGATCTCACCCCCAGCCTCATCCCCATCAGAAACCAAAATAAAGTCCTAAACTCTCCTCAGGCCAGGAGGAAGAACATTTGCAACAGAAAGCTTATCCCATCAGCCTCCAAGCCAAGGCAGAGCTTTGAGACCATGGCCATCTCCAGAGCCAGGTGAGAACACAGCACCCAAATGAAGGCATGCCTTGAATCCTTTGGAGACTTCGCCTCCAGACCCAACAAAGCTGGATATATCAGCCTCTTCCCAAAGCCACTAAGAATTCCGGATGCCTTGGTGCTGCCCTCCAAATGTCTTTTTTTTTTTGCCCTCCAAATGTCTTACTGAGATAACATCTGCTCAATATCCTCAACATCAGAAGACGTTTCTTCAAGAGAGAGTTGAGTGTTTAGTGCACAAAAAAATATACAGTAAATACACAAAGCGGCCAACTAGCTAGGGAGGCTACTGGCTTTCTAGCTGCAGGGATGAGCTGGGGGGGATGCCAGTCTCCTGCAGTATCTGCTTGGAAGGAGCCCAGTTAGATCAGAAGTCCAACATCAGGTTTCATAAAGCCCCCTAACTCCTGTAAGTGGACCCCAAAATCAGGGAGCATTAAAGCCCAGCCCCCATGATGTGAGCGTACTCTTCAGACACAAGACCTTCCCTCCTTATGCCACAAATTCCAGCATAAGTGACTTGCAAGTTGAGGAATGGTTTCACGTTTCTTTTTTCTTTTTTTTTTAATGAAAATGATTCCATGTGCCCTCAAATACCCACCCCCCCCCAAATGCTTAAAGTTCTGTCGTTAAATTTTAACTGTGAATTTGCAAAGCTCTCACCAAGCTCCTCTTTTAAAATGCAAGTATCCCTGAGAGAGATCACACATCCAGGGCATTTACCACCATCTCCTCCCTCTCAGGAAAAACAAGGAGGAAAGGAATATTCTGAGGGTTGGAGAGGGTACAAGCCCTGGAACAGGGGGGGAGCACAAGGAAAGGAAGACGAGGCCCTCAGACAGACTTGACCATCGCCATCTAGTGCTGAGGGCCAGCCCCAGCTGGCGCACTCCTTTGAAGTCATCCACGTCCATCTAGATCACATATGACCCCCAAGGCAGGGGCCAAACTATCTCTGGGTTTGGAGATATGGTGACCTTTTATTTATCCTCCAAACCAGAACACTTCTAAGAGTAAAATGGGATGCTGTGAAGAATTAAGCCTGGATAGTAAGTATAGATGGGGAGTGTCCCATCCCAGGAAAACCCAGACGTAGGATCCTCTCTAGACCATTGTAGGCAGCAACTGCCTTACCACTTTGGTTTGTTGTTGTTTTGTTATTGTTTTTCATGCACGTATATGTATTTTTTTCTCCAGTGTGATACTCGGGGCTTCTCCAAAGAGCTAGTTTTCCCAACTGAAGAGACACAAAATCTCCCAAACCTGGAATCCACAACCTCAAAGACCAGTGGCCCAAGGACTAGGTGGTTCTCATCTGCTTCCTGGAGGAGAGTCCAAGGAAGAGCACCCAGTGGAGGGCCTGGGGACACCATCTGTTCCCAGTTCTAGCACACAGAAGACACAGTGCAGATTTAAGAATGCCCAGCTCTTCTGCAGGCCATGCCAGGGGTCAGAGCCAGTCTGTGGGCATGGTCAAAGCAAGGCCAGTCACCAGTCATTTCTGGACATTCCTGGCCTGTCCAAACAGAGCTCCAGAAGACAGCAGCTTTAGTAATCTCAGGGTTCCAATGGGGCACACATCCAGAAGAGAGGTTTCTGTGATTTGATTTTTAGCACAGAAGGATCAGTAGTAAAGAAATCCAGTAGATTGTCACACATCCCCCAACTTACTGAAACACCATGTTCTACACACACACACACACACACACACACACACAGGTTCTCAGGTGTTCCCGTAGAAACACACAAAAAAGCCCCCATGTGCTGCCTGGAGCTCTCAGGAACCCACTGCTCAGGGGGGAGGCCTGAACACCTCAGGGGCAGGGGGCGGTCACCAGTCTCCACGTCAGACGCCACTTAGCCACGTCGGAGGAGGGCACTTCTTGCTCCTCTGCGGACTCTGGCAGCGAGTGGCAGTGAGGGTGCCGCTGTTCTGAGCCACAGGCAGCACCCCTCCCCTCCTCCACCTCCTGGCCGTGGGCGTGGGGGTCACAAGGGCTTGTGAATCACAGCAACACCTAAGACGAAAGGGAGAGAAAGTCAGCTTCTTCAAAGGTATCCAGAGTGCGACGGGGTTCATGAGTCCAAGCCATCCTAAAGCCCCAGTCAAGGGAAAGGGGCCCGTCTGTATCCAAGCATCGCAGGGCCTGAGAACTCGGGCTGCCCGTGGCGGGCTCTTTCCCACTGTGACGCCGAAGTCCCGGCAGGACACTTGAACCCGCACGCACAGTCCTTCAGCACCACAGCTAGTGGGCTCCCCTCGCATCATCACATGGATACAGTTCCTATCATAAGGACTCCTTTTCCAAGCCCAGAACTCAGCCTCACGACACTCGGCACCAGCACCGGATGCCTGGGGGCAGCTCCATGGCTCTACCTCTCCATCACTGTAAGAGAAGTGACAGTGATTCATGCCTACTTTTATAAGACACTGAAATGAACCGCAAAGAACCGTGAACTGACTTCATTCAAGTCAGAAAAACTGCCCACCAGTCCTAGCTCTGCCACCAGTCGAGTTGCAGTGCAGCCTCAGGCAAGTCTACTGACCTCTTGAGGCTCAGCTCCCATACAGTTTGATGTCACCCGATGGAAAGACCCCTCCCGTGCTAAATGCTGTACTGGGAAAAACGGTCCAGACACGTCTGTCTGCGTTATGATTTCAGCCAAAGCAAACCAAACTCCACGGCTAACTGTGTGAATCCACAGATGACCCAGAGTGTCTCTGGAAGGTGGCAAACACTGTGGGTGGATTCAGCCAACCTCCCCTCTCCTTGCTGTCCGTGACGGCAGAGACCAGCATGTTATCGACTCAGCTTCCCAGACTGCCTTGCAGCTGGTGTGCCGCATGCCCCAGGCCTGGCCCAGACCGTTGTAAATGCACGTCTGCCCGGGTTGCAGCTTTGGCTCTGTCTGCTGCCCGGCCTGGAAGAAGGCTCGCACATGGCCCACGGCGGTGGCAGCTATCAGCAAAGCCGGCAAAACCGGAAAGGGAAGGCAGACCTGTTTTTCAACGACAGCCTGAGCCCTAGGCCAGCCCTGGGCTTCTGGACTTCCTTCTGCCTGAGACAGGTGTGCTCCCTCCTTACTTAAGCAAGTACCTATCTGCTCCTCTGAACAAAATCCTAATTTACAGGTAAGATCTACTGGTACGGTGTAACTGACTGGAGCCTTACTTTAACTTATTCCCACGACTATAAAATCTTCTGGCTGCAGATGAGATTGAGAGAACATTGCTAAAAGAAATGCCAGGATACCCCAGGGGTGAGATTCTGCTAAGACACCCACTGCATGTGAGTTCTGGATAAAGGTGCAGAGAGAAAAGCTCAGAGGCAGGCAGCTCCACAGCCCCCAGACCCAGATGTGCTGCCTGACCTTGACAACACCTTGCCTGAACCTCAGGACTCTTTCGTAGGGTAGCACTTCTTTTTTAAAGCAGGGTCCTGTATTGCTTTTTTATATAAGCAATTTTACATATTTTATATAAGCAATTTTATTATAAATATATATTATAATAAATATTATAAATATATATATAAATATTTATATATATATATAATTGCTTATATAAAAACAATATATAAAAATGCCTCCTCTTTTGGGGGCGCCTGGGTTGCTCAGCTGGGTGAGCATCTGCCTTCAGCTCAAGTCATGGTCTCAGAGTCCTGGGATCAGGCCTTGAGTTGGGCTCCCTGCTCAGAGGGGAGCCTGCTTCTCCCTCTCTCTCTGTTTGCTACTCCCCCTGCTTGTGCATGCTTTCTCTCTCTCTCAAATATATAAAATCTAAAAAATAAAAAAAATAAAATATTCTTAGGGCACCTGGGTGGCTCAGTCAGTTAAGCGGCCGATTCTTGATTTCAGCTCAGGTCATGATCTCAGGGTCCTGGGAACAAGCCCCACGTATACTCAGCAGGGAGTCTGCTTGAGATTCTCTCTCTCCCCCTGCCTCTACCCCTCCCCCCGCCCCTCCCCCCCACATACTCTGTCTCTCTCTCTCTCTCAAAGTAAATAAATAAAATCTTTCTAAAAAAAAAAGAGTAAAATATTCTCATTTTGGGAAATTTGGGAAACACAGAGGAACACAAGGAAAAAACATTTTCACTCCCTTCATACAAAGAGAATCACCATTATCTTGTTGGACTATTTCCCGGCTTCTAAAAATAATCGTGATCATCTACCGCGGAGCTGCTACATGCCAGGAGACACTGTGCTAAGCACCCTCCACACAGTACTGCACAACAGCAGTAAGAGACTTGCTATGATTTTATTCTCATTTTACAAATGAGAAAATGAGAAGTTCAGTCAGACGGATCCCCTTGCCCAGAGTCCCAGGCCAAGTGACAGAGCTGGAACTCAAACTGAGATCTGACACCAACATCCCCTTCTTTGAGCAGTCGCTACTCAAATGTCCGTGATGCAGGACCATGTGACTGAGCCCGCATGGTACATACCCTGTGCATCCTCCCTTTTAAACCCACAGCCTGCCACGAACATGTTCTCATGGCATTAAAAACACTTCCACTGTACCAATAGTCCACAGTTTATTTCCCTGATGTCAGACATTAAGAAGCTCTCAGTTCTTTGCTATCACAAATAACACTCCAAATGAGTAACTATCCATCTGTCTCTGCATGCAGGCAATTTCTTTAGATTCTAAAAAAAAAAAACAAAATAAAAACGATTCAGTCAGTCAATGGAGTTGAAGACAAACTGCACATTTGCTTGTCTCTTTCCCACCCACTTCTAGAGTGGACAGACAATGAAGAGGTAGACATGAAATATTCAGCACATATGTGAAATTCTAACCACTTACACCTAAATCTTGCCCTCTCATTAAGGTCCACTAGGAGCCAAGAGAGGACCCCTCACTGGCCTCGCTGCCTCATACTCGAAAATGCCCTGCTCTTCCCACGACAGTATTGAAAAGAAAGTACTAGTTTTAATAATTCATCTTGAGAAAAGAATCACTCAAAGACCAACATGCCTCTAAAATCTTTTATATTTAGTTGAGAAAAATCCTAAACAAGGGAAAACAGTAAAATCAGTTCATTGCAACTGAGGGCCTGCGTTGACAACATGGGATATAAGCCCCTTCAAGCCTGGCTGGCACAACCTTCCTTTGCACTGGATCCAAACAAGACAGAATGACTGACCTTCTACTGCCAAAAGGGAATCAGAATCCCACTGGAGTTGTGACGTACACTAAAGGAGATCATGGTTGGCAAATACTTAGGGTCATGCCGGGCACATTTTTATGTGCTCAGTAAGTAAGTGTTAGTTCTAACTATTCCAGTTTCTGGAAGACGAGGTACAGGTTGCTAAGCTACATCATGGGTGTAAGAGTCTGCTTATCTCCCCACAGACCCCTGTGGTCAGCAGTACCAACTTCAGTCGGACCTCCCAAACCTCACCGAACCCATCACACACACTCCCCAGCAGCAGCATCGCTCCTTACTCCTGCCTCCACCTCTTGCCTGGAGTGCTTTCTCCCCATCAGCCGGGGTAGTACAAAGGGCATGGGCTCAGGAGTCAGACCTGAGTCTGAATTCTGACTTTGCCATTTTTTAGCCATGTGGTCTTGGGCAGGTGACTTTGACTCTCTAAACCTCAGTTTCATCACCTGTAAAATGAAGGACACAGTCCCACTCACCCAGAGGGTTCTTGAAAGGATGACAGCTAATGGGTACATTGGACCTAACACACTGCCCTCCGGCACAGGGAGGGAGCCCCTGGCAAAGGGCAGCTCCCACTTAAGAGTTGATCAAGCCTCATTTCCTCCAGGAAGTTCTCACCTGTCATGCCTTAAAATACGGAGAGCATAACACATTCTATTGAGAAGTTATGTGTGTATTGCCTTGTAAGTCCTACTTCACATAGACAGATCTTATCTTTCCCATTAAATTTCTGGAAAGCAAGAACTGTATCTTATTCTACGTAGAAGCCCAGAAATGGCAATGAAATTCTAAAACCTCTTAGGACAAATCAGAGCAGTTGGAAGTGGCTCCCGGGAACACAAGTGTTAAAAAGAGTTCTGGGCCTGCATTCAGGTTCGCTGGGGAAACCCGTGCTCATTAGGGGTATCTGTCGTGGGTGCAGAATGACAGAGTGGTGACACGTGACAATTATCCACCATCCCTGGAGAAGGCACTTAGCCCCAAGTTAAGCAAACTTACCTCCACCTGTTTAGAGGTGGGGTGGGGGTCAAGGTGCAGTCGGGCTGCAGCGCACTGACCTGCGTAGCTCCGCCCCGTGCTCATGTTGGTTGGTAGCAGCGTCCATTTGTCGGTGACAGGATTGTAGTACTCCACCGAAGCCAAGTTGCAGGATCCATCATCCCCTCCAACCACATACAGAAGCCCATTCACTGCACAGACTCCTGGGAAGCGGAGGCCACAGGAGACATTATAGCAGGCGCCCCAAAGGGGGCGGGAAGGACCGGAAACAAACGTGGATGGCCCTGGAGGCTCTCCTCCTCCCCTTCAAGGCAGCCCAATGAACCAGCTCATAGGTCTGACTTTGCTCAACGGGAGAGCATGCCGACAACAACCCGTGGGGCCCAAGGATCCCCCGTTTCTAAGAAGGTCCCTTCTCTGACCAGGGAGCTCTCACTGCTATATGCTCCCATGGACATTCCTGGCCCCTGACCCTATAAATACTTAGAGCATTATCGGTACAGGCCCCTGTCTACTGAAGCCTGCAGACCTCCCATGCGCAGACTGAGCTATGATCGGGGAATCTCACACATGCTACTCCTGCTTGTAAGTTTGCCCTGATAAAGGCTGTTATATCCATACTATGTGGCTAATGGTTGTGTCTGTGATGCCTCCATGTGACTTAGATTCTAAACCCAGACGCAGTTTACAAGGCATTCCTCCCACTGATCTCACAGAGAGCTGGCTTGAGGGCAAAGTCTCATACTGCAGGAAGCCAGGGGTAGGAAAATGCTATTTTGCAAGGCCATAGTCTAATACATTATGTCTTCTTTTAAAATTGCATGAAGGGGTTGATGATGTTCAAGAAGCAGTAATTCTAAGTACTGATGAAGATAATCTCAAATACTGGTGAGAGAATAAAAGGTACCACTTTCCTGGATGGTACTGAGGCAAATATGCTCCCTCGGGCTCAAAAATTTCACTCCTGGACTTATATTCTAAAGAAATAATTTGAGATGTGTGCACTGATTAGCCCTAGGACCATTTATAATAACAAAACCAGTATTACTGATCGAAAAAATGGAAATAATGTCCCAATAGTAGATGAGATATTTAAATTGTGATATAGCCATTTAAAATATCACGTAAATCTATTTCGTGTTATAAAAAGACAGTCATGAAAGACTGTAAAGTGGATTAGAAAAGCAGGTTATAAAACAGCATTAAGTAGGATTCCACTTTTGCTATAAAAAATAGAAATATCTCTTTGTGAATGTGTACATATACACACATTTACATCTAAACTTAATTCTTGGATTCTTGATACACTAGCTGTCTTGGGGGTTCTGTAATCCCTTGCTCATGGGGCTTAAGGCCAAATGCTAAGTTATATCACAGCAGGCTCAGGCAGTGGGCAAATTAATAAACTCCCCTCTGTTTACACTTTCAACACGTGAGCTACAAATGAGTTTAGCAAACAGGTAATTTGAGTATAAAGGAAATAAATCTGCTGAAAGTCACCTGTTTGTCTTTCCAGCCTGGGAAGCTAAGCTAAGCCAACACATTCCTAGAACAAAGAGGCATAAGACAAGATATACCAACAGAGGACACGATTCATAGGGCAAAGTTGTTAAAGCAAAGAGTTTAATAGGGATGTCAGGCTCCCAAAATAAATATCTAAACACTCTAAGATAAATCATTCCCACAGGAAGGAAAAGAGGGAGGGGACAGAGAGACAGGAGGTACAAAGCGAGGAATATGGGAAGCGCTCCCACTGGAGAGTGAATTAGGGCCCTGGTGACCCCCACAAGGAATAAGATGGGTTTCAGGTGGGAAGCAAGAGGTTCTCAGAGCCAGGTACTGGCAAAGAAAACACAGAACCAAGTGTCACTGACTGGCCAGGTCCACACAGCCCTGTGCTTAGCTACCCAACAGAGCTATGGGCCGGGAGCTTGAGGGGCAATCAGAGGGCTATTTGGGTCTGTGTCCACACATGTACCGTGAAAGTCATCAGCCCCCTGCATCTAAGCGGGGGAACTCGTGGCTACCATTCGTGCTCCCCAGCTCTCCCCTCTGCCAGCCCAGCACCTACCTGGCAAACGGATACTCCCATTGGGGGTACAAGCTCAGGCCCAGATTCTGGGAGTCTCTCCCCTCCCCCTTTCTCTTACAGCTGGTGTTTGCACCCACACCCCCCAAGGGCAGAAGGACAGAGCGGTCGCATTACCTGCATTTCGCCGGCACATATTCATGTCTGCCACCTGCTTCCAGGTGTTTGTTCCGGGATCGTAAACTTCAACGCTCTTCCTCACCAGGGGCCCGTCGTGCCCACCCGTGGCATACAGCTGGCCACTGAGCACCCCGACCCCTGAAAAGCAGAGCACAGCGTCACAGCCTCAGGCCGGCAACCGCGACCAGAAGCCAGGAGGCCTGGCTTCCGGTCCTGGGCAGCTGTCAGCAGCAGAGCGGCCTGGGGAGTGCTGGTTTGTTCCCCCGGGGCCCTCAGGGCCCTCAGCTGTAAAACACATAGAATGATGCCCTGCCTGCCTCCTAAGCCTGTCAACCTGAGAATCCCCTACAGATAAAGCAAAAATCACCCCGTGGCTATTTAAAGAAACATAACTGTATGTATACACGTAACATATATGTGTGTATGTATGTGGGTATAAAATGGGGGAGAGAGAGTTCATATGCAAAGAAAAAAGAAAAAAAAAAAGACTGAAAGATACCCTCCAAAACTTCAGGAGCAGTTATTTCCAGAGGGTCAAAGTTGGCCTCCCTTTGGGCTGTCTGTGTGGCCGAGTTTTTCTACCATGTCGTACTACTCGTATTCCGTAGCCTTCTATCATACTGGTTGCGTAGAAAGAGTGCAAAGTGGAAACGAGCCGCACAGCCGACCACACAGACCGCCCTGCCCGGGAGGCAGAACCCATTCTTTCAGCCCCGTGCTCTCCTCTCAGCTTGCTGGGGAGGGAGGGTTTCCATTACTCCCGATGTTGAGAGGCCTGAGCCAACTCCTAGAATGGCATCGCCGACAGGATTTAGAATAACCTTTTAGAATCCCCTCGTGCAAGTCACAGGAATCAAAGCCAGCAGGAAGGAGGGTAGCACAGGACCCCTGAAAGAGCAACTGACCTGGAGGCCAGGACACGTGGGGTCTGGACCTGTGTCTCTAACTTGCCCTTTGTAGGCCTCAGTTCTCCCCTCTGCAAAGCAAGGGAGCTGGACTGCATGGGTAGCTCCAAGGGACCACGGACTACTCCACCCCACCACAGGCTGCATCTCAATCAGGTGGGGAGATTTTGAAGAGAGATTCCAGGGCCTCACTCCCAGAGACGCTGGCTGGGAATCAGAACAAGGACCTCAAGTGATTTGGGGATGTGCAGCCAGGCGTCAGACCCGACCGCTTGGTTTCTAGGATATAAGCTTCCCATGGACAAGGACCCGGTCTGTCTTATCTCATCTGTTTTCCTGGGCCGGACGGTACTGGGTTTATTGTTTGAATGACGCAGTACGTAAAATGCCATCTAGCAATTATGCTGGAGTGCTAGTGGTTCCTCACAGTTGCCCGAAACTAACAGCAGATGGTGGTGTTGTATCAACAACGGCTAGCTAACAGACCTGGGCTTAAGGACAATTCAGTGTGTTCCAAAGCAGCCTTGTGGCCCCTCTTGTGCGCTCAGCAGGATCTAGCTCAGCCTGGGTCCCAGAGATGGACTCTTTACCCCCCCGACCATCTGCTAGCAAGGCTCACGCCCTACTGAAGAAGCAAGCAGCGTTCCAGGCCCTCGGGGTCCCCCTTGCCCTTCTGTAGCCTCTTCCACAAATGTTCACACAGACATCTCCGGGACCCCGAGCCACGGGGGCTCCTGGCACTTCAAAGGGCCAGAGGCAGCCAGAGGCCAGAGTCTTTGAGTCTTCAGCCACCAGAGAACACCCACCATCACAAGTTTGTGGGTTCTCCACTCCAGAGGTGTGGCTTTCCCAAATCTCAGGGACGTGAAGCACGAAACAAAATCTGACCTGGGAGCCTGACGCCAGGGCTCTGACAGTAAGGTGAGTAAAGAGTCCACCTCTGGGAGAGAGAGCATCCCCTAAATTGAGTTCACCCAGGGACACAGGCAGGAGAGATGCCATCGTCGAAGGCCACTAGCCCAGGTGAAGGTAAGAGCAGCTCGGGTGAACTCCACACAGCAACAACCCCTGGGAAGCCTGGCCGAGACAGAGCGACTGGCTTCCAGAGGCTGATCTAGGGCAGCTGAGGCAGGTCTCCTAGTAGCTCCACATGGGGCTGCCCCTCCACACTTTCTGCTGGAGACATCCCTAGAAGCAGCCCCCATCTTGGGGCTGCTCCACTCCTCCCGAACTGTCGCTACATCCTTGAGCTTTGAACTTGCTCTCACAGCTCAAGTCACAGAGGATTCCTGGGAAGTACAAAGACAACTCTACCAAGACCCCATAAACCACAGTTACTGAAAGAGCTCTGTGAAGGGAGAGGAGCCACGAGATGTGTGCACTGCACTGGCCCCGAAGGAACACCTACTACCACCCACTCATTTCACATCTGAGGAATCAGAAGCCAGAACGGGGGAAGGGACAGGCCCACGGTCACAAGGCAGGTTCAAGCAGACCCAGCACTGAAGCATAGGTGTCCTGACTTCCAGGCATCTGCTCCATGTTCTATTCAGGAAGGGCCAACTGGTCAGAATCAGCAGAAACAAGCCCACTAAAAATAGCATTCCAAACACAAATGCTTCTTAAATGGGACCATACACCTTTCTTTTTCTTTTCTAACTAGTGAGCACACAAAGGTTTTTGAATAATATTAAAACAGCATAATTTTTAAGGAATGCTGAAGAAGTGGTCGTGTGTTTGGTACTATAAAGTGAGATCACAATTCAATCTTCAAAAATACAAAGAAGAAAAAAATACATACATAAAAGAAAGACCTTGGAAGGCATTATACTAAGTAAAATAAGTCAGAGAAAATATCAGATGATCTCCATGTATATGTGGAGTCTTAAAAAAAAAAAAAAATCAGAGCTCACAGTATAGAGAACAGACTGATGGTAGCCAAGGGCAGGGAACTAAACGGTGGGCCAAAAGGGTGAAGGTGGTCAAAAGGTACAAACTTCCAGTTATAAAATAAAAAAGTCATGGGGATGTCCTATACCACATGGCAACTACAGTTAATAATACTGCATTTCACGCTTGAAAGTTGCTAAGAAAGTAGATCTTAAAAGTTCTCATCACAAGGAAAAAATATTTTGTGGCTATGTGTGGTAACTGATGTTCATGTATGTGGTGATCACTGCATAATATATACAAATACCAAGTAATAACATGGTATACCTGAAACTAATATAGTGTTGTATGTCAGTTACACCTCAATTTTAAAAAACACAAAAGAGAAAGGAAGAGCATTTTGGATGAAAACTCCCAAAGGCGGCTTCCCTTCGTGGAAGTCACACAACCTTCCCACGAGGCCCAGGCTGGTCAACACTCACCAACCCCCAACAGAACGAGAATGGAGAGCCAGGGCCCAGTGTCCAGGGCCCCTGTCTGTCCTCTCAGACCCTTTCTTTGGGCCTCTAAGATGATGGGGGCTGTTGTTCCACTTCCTGGAAAATCCCCAAGGAGCACACGGCCCCTATTCTTCCCACAGGATTCAGAAGTGAGCCACACTTGCGAAGGCCTTCCCTTTCCATGTGGGGAAGAGGGCACGGGGGGGGGGGGGGGGGAGGGCAGGCAGAGAGAGAGAAGTTTGTCTCCAAACAGGAACACTGACAGCTTGGCTTTCAACCCCAAGACAGAGACCCCAGACAGGCAGGCTTTAATTTCATCCGCCAAGACTGGGACAGCCATGCTCACCCTACTACTGCCTAAGAATGAGGCTGTAATAATTTAGAGGTCAAAAATGCTAACTTTGGAGATGAAGCTGAGTGGGAATCCTACTCTACCAGTTATATGACCTTGGGCAAATTACTCGCCCCCTGATCAACTTACTTTCTGTTGAGTGGAATTAATGTTTTGTCTACCTCTTTCGGCGGTGGTGAGGATTAAATAAATTCAAGTACAGAAGGTGCTTATTGGGACAGCACGTGGCACATAGTGAGCCTTCACCTTCCAGGGATGCAGATGTCTCCACGGAAATGGAAGGGATGACGCCGAAGAGAATATCCCCTGGGAGGGGCTTGTGTTGAGCTACGAAGGTGTCAGTGGGATCACAGACGTTAAAAGGAAAGAAGGTAAAATAAGGTAGAATGTGCTCCTGCTGGTCTCCAGGCCCACCTGAGAGCAGATCAGACACAGCCCGCGCCCTGAGGCTCCCCCCGTACCTGCACCACTGCGGCGGGTGCTCATGTCCGCCACATACGTCCACTCATTGGTTGCCGGGTTGTACTGCTCCACGGTGCTCAGGCACTGGCGGGAAGCCCCATCGTAACCCCCGACAGCATACAGCTTCCCTGGAACAGACGAAGTGGCTGAGGGTGGTGCTGGCTGAAACTCCATCTTTAACTCACGGGGGGCACCTTCAACTCCATCAGAGGTTCAGAGTTCCTTTCCTCCAGAGGGACCACAAACCAGACTAGGCATTCTTCACATCTCTGCCTTCTACCTCCTCGTAAGCCATGAGGCTCCCGGAAGCAGTACTAAGCATCCTTCTAAATCAGGACCCTAAATACCCCATGCAAAGCTATGGCCTGGCTCCACTGGGGCTCAGCCTACTCTTGCCAGTGCTCTACATGAGACCTTCTCTAGAATAAGGCGACAAAGACACAAAAAGCTAGAGGGCCCCAGCTACAGGCAGGCAGGTTGACTTTTTGGCTAAAGGCTCACAACAGCAGACAAAACAAATATGGGAAAATATTCTTCGGTGAGAACTCAATCCCTGTCTTCACCATCAGTCATGTGCTGTGTCCACAATGCCAGCAAATGGGGCATGTAGATGGAGTGCTCTGTGTGCACCCTGGGCTGGGGTGCCTGGAATTCATCTGTCTGCTCCCTTGTGATCTTGGAGCCATGCACAAGATCCCTGAAACACCACTACCCATTTTTAAAATAAAAATACTGTAAGCTGCTACCCAAAAGCATCATTTCTGCCTGGAGCTGGGCATGAGGCTGGACAAGGGGCAGGAAATTGGCATGAGAGTGCTCCCAGAGCAGAGACTTAAATATGGAGGGTCTCCTCTCGCTCCCTCCCGCCATCCCTCCCCCTCTTCCTCCCCCTCTCTCTACCCTCCCCCTCCACCGAGTGTGTGTGTGTGTGTGTGGGTGTGGGTGGCAGGGGAAGTCCTACCTCACCTGTGGGCCACAGACCGATGGGGAACAAGTGAGTTATAACAAAGATCTTAAACACTAGCTGTAGACCAAATGAACACCGCCCAGTGCAAATCCACTTAATAGAGTTACTAACTAAAAGAGGTTTTTTGTCACTATGTGCTTTACTAAGGGAGAGATAACAAAAGTACAACTATTATTTGGAAGTCTGCAATTCTTTTAAGTTAGAAAGAGGCTCAAAACTGTGCTGCACCATCACGACTATTGACGTATCAAATGTAAAATTATTTCTTCCTCTGTCATTGAGGCTGGTTTTGTTTTCTGCACCAGAGTCCTCTCCAGCGGAGCTTCTAAAAGAAAGGGACACCACCTCCCCAGTTCTGCCCTCATCTAAGCTAGAAGAAAAGTGCCTGATCCAGAAGCTCTTCCAGGGTCCAGGCTGCTCCTGCGACGTGTGCTGGCCAGGACACAACCACCTACCCACCCAGCTGCCCACCACTCGCCAAAGCCTAAGTCACTCGGGGAGGAGGAAGGCCTGGGGTGTAGAGGAGATGAGAATCTCCCGAGGGCAACCCCAGAGTCATTGGGAGCAGGCAGCCATGGAAGGAGACAGGGAGAAGGAGGAGAGTACCGTGACAATGTGGAGAGCCGAACCTACAAGGCCACAGGCAAGCAGAGGCCCCACGAGATCCTCCTGAAACATTCTCCTAAGCGCTGTGAAGAGGGCCCTCTGCTGCCCCAGGGTGACCCACAGCCAAAGGGCTTCAAAGTCAGGATGCACAAGATCAACACATTGCCAGGCTGCCCTCTGTGTCAACAGGCGCTCTACAAGACAGCATTCTTTCCACACACAGAACGTGCTCCCAGGAGCCCTTGTCAAGGGGAGTATTTCAAAGCACTACCATGGAGGCAACTTCTCGAACCCCCATCAACCATCTCAACCTTGCGTCAGCTGAAAAAATACCCACTCAAGGTTTCTCCTTGAGTCTATTAACAGGGACTTGCTATTTTTAACCCCTACTCTATTGTTTGATATTCCTGGCTGAGGAACAAGGGGGGAAATGGGAAGGTGGCTAGACAAAGCACTTACATTTGGCAGACAAATCAATTTCTGTTCCACCAGGAGGATGAGATCGCAAAAAAAAAACAATTTATCTTGATAGGAGGATAAAATCCTTGCACTCCCCAAGATGACTTATTTAGTATGTTAGAATGATATGTACTTTTAAATGGAAATTTATGTAATACTGGTACAAACCAAGAACAGGGAGAGAAAAGAATATTTCTGTTAATGTCTAATCGCTGCACATTACACTCTCCCCAAAGCAAGTACGTGTGTTCTTGGGGGCGCACATGAGAGAAAGGGAATGTCTGCATACAAGTCTAAATGCACAGATATTCCAGCTAAATTCCCTCTTTCAGGACAGGCTAATGAATCAGTGTTGTCCTACAAAGGATAACATTTTTGTCTAACTCATACTCTATGCTTTAACACACTGAATTCACACATATTTATAAAACTCCCTATTAGCATTTGCTAATGGTCTGAAAGAGTGTAGCATAATGGAAAAAGCCCTGAGTTGGGAGTCAGAAGACCCGGGGTTAAGGACTGGCTGTGCTATTGACTAATGGGCACATCACGTGCCCCTCTGGCACTCCACGTCCCCATCTGCAGAATGGAGAAAATCTAAGCCCTGCCTATCTCCTTCAAAAGGTTTAGGGAACAAAATTTGTACATAAAGGAGCCCTTTATAAACTACAGAGCCCTGTCTAACTGGGCCCCAGACCTCATCCCTCCCACCCGCCTCACCCACACACTCTTCCTGAGCAGAGCAGGACTCTACCACCCACCTGTCCTGCAGTGACAGTAATCAGACCTGGGAAGAAATGCCCACCTCACTCAAGGCTCTGTTCATGTGTTAATGGTCAACAGAGGAACAGGAGGACAAAATTAAACAAAATGAACTCTGACCCCTACCACATTATACTCCCAGGTTATATGTTAACTCTAGATTCCTCAACCTGCAACGAAACTGGTGACAAGTGGCCAAAGGGACAGGCCAGTGTCCCCCCTTAGGCTCCTCTTACTCTTCCCAATGTGCCTGGCCACCTGCTAGCCTCAAGCCAGTAGCTGCACTTCTCTGTACGTCAACCTTCTTCCCCTATTCTGTCGGGATGCTAGCACCTGACTCAGAGCCGTGGTGGGAGGAATAGAGCCAGGACGCTACGACAAGACCCACGGGCTGGGGCACGGATGGGCGGCCGCCCCCGCCATTCCTTACCCTCCACGACACCCACACCCACGCTGCTCCGCCGGGTGTTCATTGGGGCCACGAAGAACCACTCGTTGGTCTTGTAGCTGTAGGCTTCCACGGACGCTAGGCCTGGGAGACAAGAGACTCATGAGGTTCCTACGCTGCCAGGCCTCACCCAGTGTGCCCAGGTGAGGCTGGGACAGGGTGAGAAACCCACTTGTGAGGCTCAGCACCACCTCCCCCTTGCCATGTGGTCTGGGGGCACCTCCCTGAAGCACATCTACAGTGAGTCTACCTGAGAGGCCCACTGAGGCCTGACTCAGGGCGGGTCATGAGAGGACACGGGGGTACCACAGAACTGCCCTGCAAATGTAAACTGTTACACCTACAGGATGAAGGGAAAACAGGAGGTTGCCTCACCAAACACCTTCTTTTCCCTTCTCTTCCTCTACATTAGAAGCTAGAAAGCTCAACACTTACCTTCTCAGACTCCCTAGGGGTGACCCAGTCAATGAAGCCCAAGTAGAAGTCTCATGGGCATTTCTGAAATAGTCTTTGTTTTTCTGATATAGGTGCCAACACCAACCTGCCTGCTGCTACCTGGAATACCAGTGTGCTGGCTGGAGCTGTAACAGCCATCTTATGATCAGGAGGATATAGCGAAGGGACGTTTAAAGAGCTTGGCCCCAATATTCTTGAGCAAGGGGATGAAGTGAGCAACTGCCAACTTCCAGACTCCTTGTTTCATGGGTAAAACAGTACCTCTCAATTGTTTCAGCCACAGTTTGGTGAGGTTTTCTACTTGCAGCTTAGAGCAATTTCTAAAAGAAACAACGCTCCACTCCCTTTTTTTCTCTTTATTACTCAGGTCCTACCCACTAGAGGCAGCCCCTGGAGGGGCTGCAGACCCTGGAATTTTATGACAGAGGCAAAGAGAAGACTGGGAAAGGTTACCAAGTGGTAAAGACACAAATGAAAATTCAGGGAAGTAAAAAATACTGTTTTCCATATCCCTGGGGGCATTTCAGTAACAGAGTTACTGTCTACAGAGACTTTCACCTGGAGGCATAGGAGAGATGAGATAATCTCTCCAAGTCCACATCTATTCATAGTTTCTGATTTAAACTCTGAAGTGACACAGAAGCCAGGAGCAAGGGGACGCTCCCGCAGTGACACAGCCAGGCAAAGCTTCTTGGGGCAGTAAAAAGGCAATGGACAAAGATGGCAGGGCCCGAGGCAGGTCCCTCCCATGGCTGAACCCCAGCTCCCTTGTCCATCCAGCAGAGGCTTCGGACAGTCCTGAGATGCCCTGCAGCTGAGCATGCTCTCTAAGTCTTATCTTTCAAAAAAATGGGTTCCCATATAATAGAGAGGAGAAAAGGACCTCTTCTGAGTGCAGGACGCTCCCTAGAGTCCTAGAAATGATAGCATGTGGGCAGTTACGTATCTTGTGTATAGGAAGGTCTGGCTCTGGCAAGCAAGGTAAGGAGATGAGGCAGGATGAGTATGCTGTTGAGGAAGGAGCTATGGATGGACAGAAGGTTGGCCCAAGAACTGACTGAGCAAACCACGGTTGCACTGAGGGCATGTCTCAGGCTGGGAGGAGTGGGGACCACATCCCAGACCTACCAGTACTGCCATCAAAGCCCCCCACGGCATAGAGCAGGTCATTGAGTACGGCCGCGCCCAGAGTGCTCCGGCGCTCCTGCATGCTGGCGATGGACGTCCATTGGTCCTTCACACCGTCATATACATCCACGGTCCGCACGCGCAGTGAGCCATTAAACCCGCCCACAGCATACACGTGACCAGCCATGAACACCACACCTGCAGCACAGGAAACCAGGGCATGGAGGTCATCTCAGGCGGCTGATGACTCATGCGGTGACGATAAGTGACAAGAGGGGAGCCAGGCAGTCACATGAATAATTCACCACAGCGATCTCCAACTTTACAGAACCAGAAGTCATCATAGGGCTCACTGGATTTCTACTCATATATGCTTTTCCAGTGTTATTTGATTCAAGCAAATACTTGTCCTAGCGTGAAGTCCCTAAGCACGTAAGAACCGACCCCAGAAGGGGCAGCCAGAAATCAGGTAAGTAGGGAAGGAAGAGGAGGAGAGTCTGTAAATGCATAGATGTTTGTGGACACAAGGAGCAGGGGAGGGTTTCCGGCAGTAAGCAGAGACGAGCTGGGGAAAGGCAGGCTGCCAAATGACAGATGGTGCTGCTCACCTGCTCTGCATCTCCTGGAGGGAAGCTCAGCAATCTGGTCCCACCGGTCCTCTTCAAAATCATAGCATTCCACGCTGCGGATCGCCTTGGGGGCCTGGCCACCGACCACAATCATGACCTCCAGAAAAACAAACAGACATTAGCTGGGTCTCCCCAGCTAATGGATGCGTGCATGATCAATCCCTGGTCCGTGCACACGCCAATTGCCCAGGGTCCATGAGTGACCTGACATGCCAGTTTACAGAGTTAAATACGTGGAGATGCTACCCCAAATCACCAACAAACAGGACGATCAAGAAAAGTCTAACAAGGACATCTTGCCACAGAAACACTATCATAAGGTCTACACTTCCCAAATACCTATGCTCAGGGCTATGGTGGTGGTATGTGTAGCCACTCAGGGCATGCTCTACAATCTCGCTGCCCTCAAGCATTTGGGCCGGGGGGATGAAATTTTGTATCAAAACAAAATATTCTGAAATACATATCAAAACTTGAATCTATTTTGGAATGGAGTGCAGAACTTGGATGCATTTTAAGGAGAAAATTACCTCAAAAATATTTCTGAATACACAGACTACAGGGAGCACTTATTCATTGTAGTCTGGGGCAAAATTGTGAAAGACTGCTTTGGGGTAGTGACCACAGAAACGTATGTAACTGATGATGCTCTGAAAAATAGTGCTAACAATACTGTTCCCACAAGTATGGTAGTGGCTACCAGTGCCAGTCACCATGTGAAATGTGTTGTTATTTATGTGTCACCAAAACCCCATGAGGGAGATATTATCCATATTGACAGATGGGGAAGTTAAAGCTCAGAGAACATAAGTAAATCACCCAAGGTCACACAGCTGAGAGCGGCAGAACAGAGATCAAAAACCAAGTCTACCTGACTTGGAGGTGAAGGCAGCCCCACCCCTCTCCTGCTCCAGAGACAGGGTCCACGCAAAGACAGCTCATTATATCCATGTTTGTCAAACTGTAGGTCACATTTCATGAGTAGGTCATGAGATGAATTTTATGCATTGCAACGGCATACTTTTAACAGAGCAGCACAGAAAATATAATAAGGGTGTTACTTCATGAAATATTTGTTGGGGTTATACACACATGTAGGTGTCTCCTGGATAACAATTGAAACATATTTCTTATTGTACGGTATCATCAGAAAAGAAAGAAAGAAAGAATGAAAGCCACTGGTCCAGCTATAGTAACAGAACCACAGCATTTAACTGTGGTATCCCAGTTGCCGAGATTTTTGTCACACGTTATTCATCAATAAAAAAAAAAGTAGCCAAGTTAACAATAGTGTACACATTTTAATAAACTTGTGCAAATTCATGGCCATCCCTACTAGGACATCACGCTCCCACTGGCATTCCAAGATGCCTTCTTCTGTGGCAAGAAAGAGGTGGAAATCACAGGTAGCCCATCAGTAGGAGTCTCAGGATGTTTTCATTACCTGTAGCTTGTATTATTTACTCCTATGGTTCTCAAGCTTCAGTGTGCATCAGAATCACCTGGTGGGTTGTTAAGACACAAATTATTGGGCCCCTGTCAGAGGTGCTTATTCAGCAGGTCTGGAGTGGGACAGAGAATGGGCATTTCTAACAAGTTCCCGGTTGAGGTTGATGCTGCTATTCCAAGATTCATACTTTGATAACTACTGTTTTCACCCTTGGACCCCAGGGTTTGCTGATGTTCCATTAACAATTTCTGCCATTATGAACTACCATAGTACTTTTACTTCTCCACAACAAATGTTTGAGGAGAAGAGTGATGATCAAAATCTATGTGAGCTCCCAAGAGTACATGCCTCAGGTGAACAGCATCTACACCAGGAGGCAGAACTGGGGCCGACAACTACTGCTCATCCATCATTTACACCCCAAAATTCCAGATCCAGGCTCACCCACTGCCCACATGTGTGGTCACAGCCATCTGTGGTCAAATGTGGGTGTCCAATGTTCAAAAACTCAGAAGTCAGTTCTGACTTCTGGAACATTCCAAAGGAACCCAGGACACACAGTCCAAGCTTAGAGCTACTGCAACTACTTCTGGAAATAAACCTCCATTAGGCAGCTCAGGGGGTCTGCTGCTCTGTGTCAAGAGGGGCCCTTTTCAGAGAAAAGCTGAATTTGACATTACTTCCGTTCTGTAATTCTTTGCTTAGACAGGCATCCAAGAACAGTTTAAGGGGGATGTTAATGAACACAGCCTCTTGGCAAACTCAGACTATGCCCACCTTACTCTTCTGGGGCCCAGTGACTTGCCTCACATTCTTAAACATGCCTAGAACGTGCACTGTCCTTCTGGTTTTGAGTTGGCAAAACTAAAGCAAAGGCACAATACTGGGATAATTTTCTATGAAATCTGGTTTGGGGGACTAAGTAAGAATAAAATCAGGTTTTAGTTTTCTTTCTGCAAACACCTCAGGCACTCAACACCCTCTGTTCCCTCTCCATGAAACATTCTTCCCCCTGTCTGTATCCCTCTGCTCTAACACATGTTTGTCTTTCAGGTCTCAGTTGACCAAGTGTCACCTCCTCCAAGAGGACTTCTCTGATCTCACCTCTGAGTTACTGTCCCTTCTCTGAGATCACACATGCCCTGGGTTCTCTCATTAAAACTGCCCCACATTGTGCTGTAACTGCCTGGCTACCTTGTCTTCCTGGCAAGATGGTGACCCTGGCCAGGACAGAAAATGTATCTACCTCAATCACCAAGATAATCCTAGGGCCTCATGGTGCCAGGTAAAAGTAGGACTCAGATACTTGGAATAAGGAACGAACGAATGGTTAGTAGCATATGCAAAAAGCCAAACCAAAAAATACAGAGTTGAATGGAAGAAAATACACAGTCCAGAACATCACTTTCTGGGTTAAGATATGTTGGACACTAGATTACAATTCTGGAGATAGAATTTGAGAGGAAAAAAATAAATAAAAAGAGAAAAAGAGAACTTTTCCCATCTTTTCACTCAACCACCAGGAGAAAGACTGCTTATTCCCTGTTCAAGTTAACAGGCTTCCTCTGTAAATAAAATTTTAAAAAGTAAAACAAAATAAAGGCAAAGCTTTCAAGGAACCTCGCCATGCCCCAGAAACCATCTTATGCCAGGGGTGGGGAGGTATATTCGTACTGGAGAAAATCCAGTACTCATCTCTGAGAATTTTCAGAGTCACACAGAAACACATCATACAAATGCAAAAAATGTCAATGGTAAGGTAAAACCTGAGTAGAAAAACAAAAGTAATACAGAACAAGGTTTTGAAAATAAACTTGCCTTGGAGCTTATAAAGCCACTGTTGAGACACGACTTTAATATTCAACTTGTACAATAATCTGGGAAGAGTAATTATGAGGTTTTGTGGGGTAGGACCATTGGTTTCTGAAGATGGAGAGGTAGCTCAAGGCAGGGGGAGGAGGAGGTGTACTTTCTGCTTCTTTCACAGGCCTAAGAAATCCAATTTCTATGGCAGGCCTTGCAAGAAGCCATCACACAAGGAACGCTATACTCGTTGTGTAATCGTGCAGAGTAAAAGAAATACATTTCCTATCTTGAATACTAACGGAAGACTGTTTCCATAGATACCTCATCTTAACAACCAATTAGACAAAAATGAGTATTCCCCGAGTCTACATGCATGACATCTCTAAAATTATAAACCTCTAGCTACTTAGGAAGACCGTAAGCTGTCAGGGCAGGAAGACATTTAAACAGTTCTTTCCTGCAAACCCTCATTTTACATTTCCAGAAAAACTCACGCCCAGGATGTTTCACAAGCATATTTCTTTCTTTCCCTCACACCCCTGAGTCCCAATTTACTAAAGACTTGTAATGCCAATAATAGAAATTACTGAGTCCGATCAGCTAAATGATTGCTATTTTTAACATGTGTCCTTTAAGGTAATACCTGAGAAAGAACTACCAGGGGTCATACAGGCATCACAATAAAGAACTGGTTCCAGGCTAACAATTATGCTAGACCAAACACAATTTACTCATGTTCAAGAAGTGCAGTGTACTTGGGAGTCTGGCAGCACACCGCAGGGTCCAAACCCCAAGTCTCAAGAGCCACGGTGTTGAAGGCTCCAGAAGTTCTGGTGGATGGAGAATTCTGGTTGACAGAATACAGGTGAGCCAGACTCAACTGTGGGCGGCAAGGCCATTGGACAACTCCCAAGGGAAACACTCATTTTGGAAAGTCCAATGGCCATTTATTGTAGGGAGCTTAGTGAGACCATGGAAAGACTACCTGATTCCTTAGGAAGGAAATTTCACTCCCAACCTAACAAGATGGTTTTTAAATAAATACATAAGGCTGTCTCCTTCCATGGAGGATTTAGACTGTAGCACCATGCCGGGGGAAGCGAAGGCATGTATGAGTATGACGACCAGTCTGTGTGAGAGCCATGAGGTACCCGGTACCCGAGACTAGCCAGGGACAGGTGCAGTAGGGGACCAGAGCAGAGCTTTCTGGCTCACCTGTCAGTCACGACCCTAACCTCTAAGTCATTAGACTCTCCACTATGGTAAGAGGAATGACCTGGGCTCTGTAAACTTTTTTCATCAGGCAAGAGTGGAGGGTGTGTCCAAACTCTCTTCCATGACAGGTGAGCTGGGCAGAAGGCAGGCCCAGCCAGTCGGTCCCTCGGGCCAGGGCAGGAAGCGAGAGTCTCTCTTACCCTGGTGCGTGGGGCCGCAGGGCTAACACCAATTCATCCGAAGGAGCATGTCGAGGTCGAGGCAGAAGACTTGTCCCAGCAGGTTCCTGAGCAACAGGTGCTCGAGGCAAGAACCGACAGCCAAAGTGCAGAGACAGTGTGGCAGGTGGAGAACCAGCAATGTGGGAGCAAGACCCAGGGGAGGGAGAAGGAGTGGGAATATGGATTTTGGAGTCAGACACATCTGGGCTCAGGTATCAGCGCAGTCACTAAATAGCTGTGTGACCATGGGCAAGAGAAAACCTTGCCAAACTCACTTTCATTACCCGTATTATCAGGAAAATAGAATGTTTCTCTCATGGGTGTCAGGAGCCTTAAAGGACACAAAGCACGTAGCACACAGCTCAGTACATCACACACACTAAATGTTAGCTTCTATTATTCAAT